TACCAGTCCCCCAACTGGAGATCCCCTGCATGTAAGAGTCTTTTTCACACCTCAGAGCCTGAATTTGCTGCTTCCTGTGCTTGTCACACTTCCGCCTCCTCTTACTGCCTTCTGAACTCCCACTCCAGTGAGAGCTCAAAAGCTGTGTCTGTAAAGGCTTTCCTGCACCCATGGGGCAGGAGCTGGTGCATCTTCCATTGTGCTGCAATGTTGTGAACTCAGACCTTCATCTAGCACAGAGGACACTGCAGTTGCTCTGTGTAGTATTAGCCAGGACTCCCCTGGGATCAGGGTCATTGCATTACCCATCTTTGTAAAACACCAAGGATGATGCTTGAGTGTAGCGGTACGTATGACCATGAGTCAGTTCTGCCATGTTAATTCTACTGTACATAACTCGGATTAGAACTCCTATTAGTTACTTCCATTAAAGCAGAAGAAAAATTAAATCTGATCAAAATATTTTGCTCATTACACCTTTACTGCGTCTTTTTTTTCTCTTTTTTAATGTTTTGTAGGCACAATTAAGTAGGCACTACATGCACATGGCACAAAATTCAAAGGACCCAAGACAGTGGACTGTGACAGAAGCCACCCGCCCCACACAGTTACAGCCTTACGGGGAGGGAGGGAGCCACTGCTGAAGTCTTTCATGCATCCTTCCAGAGACTGGCTAGCCACAAATGGGCAGATATATATATATATATACTTATCTATCACTGTTTGCACTGTCCTTGATTTTTAAACTGTGATTCTTCCAGATGAGTACATAAAAACACAGCTTTTGCTTATTTCAGACGTATCTTATTCCATTCTATTAATTTATCTTGATTTTAAAAAAATCTCTTATCAACAATCAGGTGTTGATAACAATTACTGTTATTTATTTTACCATCAATGATGCTGCAGTCTATAGGTAATTTTATATGTTTGAGTATATTTGTAGGATAAATTTCAAGATGGAATGGTGGGATTAAGGGTTCCAGAATGATTTCCACAAAGATAATATCCATTTTTTTTAAACTCTTGCTAGCAGCCCATGAAATACTTACCTCCTGATGTCTTCTTTCCGAGGCTCTCAAACAGTAAGGCACACTATTGAATTAAGTATGGCCTCATTTGCTGCTTTAACCCAGAAGTAAAGATGTAACCAGATGTGAGGTGTGCTGATATGAGAGGTGGCAGAACCTTTAAGAAGTGGGGCCTAGTGCGGGGGAACAGTTTGATCGATGGAGGCCTTGCCCTCAGAGGGAATTAATGCCAGTCTCATGGAGCAAATTACACCTTGCAGGAATGAGTTATTGTAAAAGATCAAGAATGACTTCTTTTGGTCTCGGTCTCTGGCTTCCTGTCTCACCACAGCTCTTATACATGCCCACACTTCCGTACCTGTGATGCCATCTGCTTCGAGGCCTCAGCATCGTGTTCTTCTTGTACCTCCAGAACTGTGTGCTAAACAGACCTTTCTTTTGTCCTTCTTTTTTGAGACAGGGTCTCACTTTGTAGTTCAGGCTCATCTCCAACTTGCTATGTAGCCCAGGCTGATTTTGAACTCACAACCCTCCTACCTCAGCTTACCAAGTGCTGGGATTACAGACCTAAATTACTATGGCGAGCTTAAACCTCCTCTCATATATTACCCAGCCTCAGGTATTTTGATATAGAATCAGAAAATGGACTAATACTTGGAACCAGCATGATTTTCTGCCTGATCGTATTGGGTATGAGAGAAAAAACAGGCAAGCATGACCCCAAGTTCTTGGCTTAAGTGAAAGGATGGAGTTGTCATTTGTTGAGATGGTGAAGGGTGCAGGTGGAGCTGTTTTAGAGTAAGGATGAGGAGTTGATTGTGATTACCATGGCTTTCCAAGGCCACTGGGGATCTCGCATGGCCATTGTTCCAAAATAGATCAGTGGCCTGGACTAGAACTTGGCTGAAAACCTTTCTTGGGTTGAAGGCTCCAAAGAATACCTGTCTAAAGGCATTGTCCTTCTGAGCTCTCCTGTGCCACGTGAGACTTGCACTAATCTGTTGTGTTAAATGCTTTCACATTTTTTTCTTTCCGGTGTGAAGTATATAATCAAAGGAATAGGCAAACACATGCACCTGAAAACTGAGAAACTTCATTTCCTGTGTACGACATAATCAGCACAAAAATAGTTTATTACAGAATTCACTGTACATTTGTTAATGGTAATGGTGTAGTCTGTGATCAGATTTCCAAATTCTTTGTGTCCCACATAGACGAATCCATGGCAGGACACGTGGGTGTAATGGGGTTTATTAAAAGTTAGGGAGGGGAATTACAAAAGGGGCGTGGCGGGCCCAGGTGGAAGCTGCAAGCAGAGAGGCTTTCTCTCCCCCTGGTAAGTGGGGGAGGGGCACGGGCGGTCTCTGGGCCGGGCTGGGGTTGATTGAGTTGTCCCTGAGGTATGGTGTGAATAACCTACACACATTTGTAATTGAAAAGAAGGCTCAGCGAAAGAGAGGAATATTCAACCTGAAATACAGTATTAAGTCATAGGTTTTCTAAGAGTCCCGAACTTTCCCTAATTCTAGCCTACCTCACTTTAAATATCAAAATTCAGTAAGGCATGGTGGAACACGACTACAATCCCAGTTACTCAAAAGGCAGAGGCAGGAGGATTGCAAGTTCATGCCCACCTAGGTGAAATTAGGGAGACCCTATCATAAAAACAAAATACAAAGACAAAAGGGCTGGGGGTATAACTCAAGTGGTAGAGCACTTGCCTAGCATGCACAAGGCAAGTATGCCCTGGATTCATTTTCCACCTGACCAAAAAAGAACAAAAAAAAAAAAAAAAGGAATTCTACAATTGTGGGTTTATGATGTCAGCTACAGGCAATTTCTACACAATGCCAGGCTAGGCTGGTAAGAAACTCATTACGGTCAATCTGAAACGTGGCTGATTGAAAAACGTAGTCAGGAACTCACTGTACAAATACAGCATCCAGAAAGAAGGGATGCACTTAAAACACTAGTCACTAAAGCACCTGATAAAACAGTACCTAAAATGGAATGATTATTACAACGAAAGCCTAGAAAGGGAAAGGAAAGCAAACCCAATATTTTGTCATATAAGTGGGAGGGGGAAAAAAGAACAGAAACTGATACGTAGGGATTACTTTAAAAGGCTAGGAAGAGACTGAGGGAAAGAAATAAAAACATTGTGTTCTTTTTATACAATGCTACAATGCAAGAACGCCAAATGTAGCTGTTTTTTCCGCCCTTTTCCAGCTCACGAGGTCAGCGAATACATTAAGAAAACCACCCATTGCTAGATGAAAGTAGCTAAGGGTATCTGAACTTGTATTAAAGCCAGTGAAGAGGTGGCCAGACTAGGTGACTCAGAGGCATGACTCAAACCCGACACTGGGGGCTGTCAGCTCTCGGAGACGAGGGGCGCCGCGTCTAACACATTTCAGGAAAGTACCAGGCTTGTGCGGGGCGACAGGAAACCTCCCGGGGACATGGCCTAGGGCTCCTCCAGCCCGTGAACCTGACCTCCTACCCACAGCACCAGGGGAAGTTCCCCTGTCCTGGCTCCCCCACCCCATCTCTTCCAGCAGCCTCCCGGGGCTTGTGCGCGCGCGCGACGTCAGGTCTCCTCCCCCGCCGCCCTCCGCCCCTCGCTCCCCGCCACGCGCCCACCCGCCCCGCCTCCGAGGCGAGCCTCTCTCCCCACCCTGCCAGCGCCCGCGCCCGCCGTCCGGGCACGCGCGGCACGAACAGTGCCTGGAGCTGCCCCAGACAAACACCTGTCCAGCCTGGGCTCCGCGAGACTTGGGGCGAACGCATAGGCACCAGGGGGGCGCGTTCTCGCGAGGCTTAGGAAATTTCCCACGGCTCGTGTTGTGTCTGAGCGGAGTAGTGGAAGGCGGTAGGAAAGAGGTGTAGCGTGAGACTGGGCTGCCCGCATTGTGCACATGCGCAGTGCCGCCCGCGCGTGCCGCGCCAATCCTGCAAGCCTTCAGCAGCAGGTTTCGGGCCAAGGAATCCAGTTCTCCGGGTTTTGCGGCTCACTGCCGAGGCCGTATAGGATCTGGGAATCTCCAGGAAAGGAAAGGGCCAGGGAGGGGGGACACAGAGGGGAGCTGCAAGGAAGGAGGGAGGGAGCGGGGTAGGCCCCGCACCTGGTTATTAAATGCCCTGCGGGGCCACGTTTGCTAGGGGACCTAGGCCGCCTTTTGGGCAGCGAGCAGCACCCTCGGCGGAGCCAGGCCCACGGGAGGACCGGTTTTCTGTGCTCACGCACGCTGGAGGCTGCAAAGAGTTCCCGGGAGGCTCGCGCAGCAGACCAGAAGCTATGAGCTATGGCTTGAATCAAGGATGGCTCGCAATTTTCATTTCACTTCTGGAGCGAAAACTATTCCGCGCGCGGGCGCGTGCATACGAAGTGGATATCATGAGCACAGGCCTTGGCTGACCTCATTTCGCACCCAAAAAGCAGCAGCTAACGATACAGAGCCCAATTGCAGAAGTTACTCCTCCTGAGGGGCTCTGGAAGGGTCGGGCCACGTTGCAATCACGTCTGTCTTGCCATTTGCATAGGGGGCAAATGAATGAAGACAGTTCCTGGCAGGTTGCTCGTCCAAACCCCAGTCATATTCTGTAGCTCCACCACCTAACATTGAGATTAGCATAAAGGAGGCGTCCAGTGAACGTTTGAATGAATGAAAAGGCTGGGAACTCAGAGTGAGCGGGAAGCCACTTGGAAAACACCCACTCGAGGCGGTGTGTCATCCAGGCCTGTGAAACGCGGCCCATTTTCCCAGGACCCCTCCTCCCGGCCCCGCCCACTGACCCCTCCATTCCCTGTCCCCGTAGTAATCCCCTCCGGTTTTCCTCAGTCTCCACGTAGGTCCCTGAGGGCGCGTCCCAAAACCCGGATAACCGGAGCGCTCCCCATGGACCACACGGAGGGCTTGCCAGCGGAGGAGCCGCCTGCGCATGCTCCATCGCTCGGGTAGGTTTCCAGAGAAGGCTGCGAGCAGGATCCCCTACTCCGCAGGCGGCGCGAGGCGTCTCGCTCTCCGTGGCGGCTGCGAGGGGAGAAGGAGCGCGGGGGCTGGGTGGAATCGAGGAGCGAGGAAAAAGAGAAGGGGCGGGGGAGAGGGACCAGGGACAGCATCGGGGGGAATCTCGCGAGGGTTGGAGTTTTGGCGAGAGTTTGTGGAAGATGGCGCCTGTTGTGACAGGGTAAGTCTGGGGGAACCGAGCGCTGGGAACCGGGAAAGTTGCGGGCGCCTGCCAGCCCGCGACGGGCGGCGGGTTCGGGGGCCGCGGCACGCTGGGATTGCGCAGGTTGCGGGGGCGGTGTCGCGTGCGCCGGGAGCGGCGGCGTGTGGCGGGGCGCTGCTCGCTCCGCGCCGCGGTGGCTCGGGCTCCGGCGCGTGAGGGCGGCGCGGGCGAAGGCGGCGGCGAGGCCGGAGGGTGCGGTGTGAGTGCGGCCGGCCAGCGCGGGGCCCATGGACGCCGTGCCCGCCGCGCGCCTCTCGCCGGCCCTGCCCCGGGGCCCCACGCAGCTTTGTTCCTAGCGGCCGTCGCTGCCTCCTCGCCCAGCCGGTGCCCCCCGGCCCCGGGCGCTTTGTCTCTCCGCGCTGCCCCCCGCGACTCTCAACCCCCGGCCCTTTGTTTCGCCGCCTTGGGCGCTTTGTCCGCTCCGCTGCGCCCCGCGTCCCTTCTTCATCTCCTTCCTTCCCGCGCCCCTTTGTTGTGTCGCTCTTCTCGGTGGCCCGGTGACCTGCCCCAACCCAGGCGCCAGATCCGTCTTTATTTCTCTTCCATTGTTTTTCTCGTGTGTCTCCACTCTCACCTTTCTGTTTGGCTTTGTCTTCCCCATCTAGTGGCTTAATTCTCTTAGTACCCCCTTTCTCTCCCAGTGTCGCTTGATTTACCTACGGTGTCGGTCTGACTGTCCACTGAACTGGCCCAGTCCCGGGGACTCCATCTGGCTCTTCTCAGTGTAGATGGGTTCCACGGTGTGGGGTTGATGAGTCCTAAAGATGCCTGGGAGGACTTGCTTTCCTTCTCTGCACCCGTTGCGGGACTGCATGCACCCCTCCTTCCCTCCCTCCCCAGTGCCCTCTTCCCTCGGGATTTCATTGCAGTCTCTTTGGGCCGGTGGTTGTTTTGCTTGGAAACAGTAGCCCTGGTAGAAGATCTAGTCTCTTGATGATTACTACCGCCTCCCCCCAATAGTTTCTGATTGCCTAGGCCAAGGGCAGCTGTCGTAGCTGTGCATTTGAGTTACCTGGGGATGGGTGGGCGGTATTCTGGGACGGTTAGAAGTAAGCGCAAGCTTTTTTTTTTTTTTTTTTCCTCTCCTATTGGGATGTTGAAAATAGTTTCATATATTCACATTGGATATTCTTGTAGAGTGTAGGTAGGAATTTAGTGAATTTTTATGTTAAAAACTTGTGGATGTTGGGGTGGAGAATTCAGTATTTTCTAGAATCTAGATGTTTAGTTGTTTTGCGAGTAACTCCTGCTTTTTGAGGAGGGGAGACATCCCGCTTTGGAATTTGGTATAAATGATTCCGTTTTCTTAATCATTACAGTTTACAATTTACAGTCGTTAGAGTTTGCGTCTTGTGCTTTTTGCTTCTGTAAATGTATGGCAACACGTTTGTCCCATCATTGGAAGTAAGCGCTAAAGAGTGCAGTTTTGGTTGATGAATTCTGCTTTTAGGATCTTTGTGTAATGTATTAATCCTATGCAGTCAGTAGACTTAGAAGTAATAGCCTTTAGTGAGGCTATCTTAAAGGCACTTGCTTATGTTAAAGGAGTATTAAATTGTTCTCAGCTCGCATTGTTCGCTAATGTTAAAAGCTTGGAGTTATTCCTCCAGGGGTGTGGTGTGGTGTATTTTATACTAATAGCAGGAATTATTATACTAGGTATTAGAAGTTTTAGGTTTACCGGGATTATGATACTGAAGATATTTTCCTGGAGCTTTTTTCCCCCTCCGTGAGATATCACTACTTTTAGAAGATGTATTCATGAAATCTTTTGCAGTGTCCTTTCATTTATGACGTAATGTGCTACTGATGATAGAGAGTATACAAGATCTGCTCTAAGGGACGTTGGTACTTTGGAAAGCTTTTTTTTTTTTTTTAAGGTGGTTGATTAGAATCAGATTGAATTTTAATTAATGGAAGACCGTTTTTTCAGAGTTGATAACACGAGGTTTTTGTGAAACTTTGCCGCTTGAGTTCTGTGATTGGCTTTTACCAGTAATCATTTCTCCCCATACTTGTTTTTGGGACATAGCCATTTTTTTTTTTCCCAAGAGAAAACTATGAACATACTGATTGTGTCTGTGGTGTAAATACTGTGTAATAGTGGACCGTGTTTTGCTCTGACTTGTGCATGTGAGTTGTAATCACGCAGGCATCATAGTCACTTTGACAGTTTGACTTGTGTTGTTTCTAAATCATGTAAGACTTATTTCATGAAATAAAACAGTGCTTTTAAGTTACAGCAGCATGTTTGGAAATATATAGGATGAGTCACAGCTGGGAAACAACTTTCATTCTGAATATTGACTATTAACGTTTTATATTTATTAAACCTGCATATTTTTAGGAAAAAAATTTGAGGTTCATGTACACTACTTTGACTCTGTTCTAGATTTTAAGCACTAGATTTTAAGCAGTTAAGTTTGTTTTAAAGTTATCTCTGCTCTATACCAAAAGATTTCTACCACTGTAATTTATTTTTGGTGCTTTTGGGGTTTGAACTCAAGGCCTCAATTTTGCTAGGCAAGTGTTCTACCACTTGAGCCATGCTCCTAGCTCTTTTGCTTTAGTTGTTTTTTCAAATAGGGTCTCATGCTTTTTTGCTTGGGCTGGCCTTGGACCTCAGTTCTTCCTATCTATGCCTCCTGCATAGCTAGGGTTACAGGTGTGCACCACCATGTTAGGCTTCCTTGTTTATCATCTCCCTCCCATCCCCCCATTCTCCCTATCTTTGATCTCTGCTGCCCAGGTAGCTGGGATTACAGGTGTGAAACACCTTGCCTGGCCTTCTGCCAATATCTCTTAAATGGGTAAGATAAAACATCATTTTAAGGGAAAAAACCACTTTTGCCACATGTAATTCATTAGATAATTTTGGCACCTGTGGATAAGTAAGGCATTAGGAAAAAGTTTTGTTTGAAAGTTCTTACAAATCTTAATTCTGAGGTTCAGTCATTTTTAGAAAAAAAGATTTAAGACTTAGCTTTAAAGCATTATGATGCATTTTGCTTCCTCTTTATACTACATTTCGTGTTATTTCAACCAGGGGGAGTATTTTCTCATGGATTGACTAAAAGTTGTTATTTTTGGCATCTGGTTTTGTGATTATTTCCAAGTTATTTTACTTCCCTGGGCTAGTTTCCTAACTGTAGTAAAATGGGAATTGTAATAACTTGGCCCATCCGCACAAGATCCTTGTGCCTTAGAATTTGCAGAGAGTATCCTTGGATGAAAGGTGTGGGTAAGGTTTAGGAATTGTTAAGAAAGCTAGTGTGAAGTCGGTCATATTTTATAGAAAGTCAAGTAAGAGGTTATGAACTAAGTTCTTGGCAAGTTATAGTAGTGATAGTGGGATGAAAAAACCCCAAATATGTTGGGTAATAAAACAGATACATTTTTCCCCCATAAACTTGGAGGGAGAGGGACAAGCAAAACAAATTACGGGGTAGTATTTGTATGTGTTGTGTAAGAGATTGAAAATCTGTCAAACTCAAATGTAATAACACATTGTAAAATTATGGGATGCCTTTTCTTTATTGATTTGTTTTCTGCTTGTAGTAACTTAAAAGAAATGATAGCACAAAATGTTTTTAATGGATTCTTGGTCATGTCTCTTAATACTGACATTTTACATACACCTTACATTTTTTAATGTTTTGTCATTTGTTCTCAAGAATATTTTTTAATCACCAGGACTGTCATTTCAGACTTGACTCAGTCTTCAGAAAGTGTTTTGCACTTGAGAGACAAATGAAACATATTGTTTCTCTTTTCCTGATAGGTGCTGTCTCTTGTCATCTTGTTCCTAAGCCAGGATTTTGGCTTCCTTGTCCAAGTATCTTTTATTTATGAACACTAAGAACTAATAGTTTTCCTTCCTAAAAAAATCTCTTGAATCTGCCTTCTTTATTCTTACTGCCACAGTTCATTTCTCACCTGGATTACTTCTGACTGTTTTCTGCCTCTAGATCTCCTACACTGCTCTCCAGCATGCGTGGCTAAGGAGCAGGGTTTCTGAAGAGCAAATCTGAGCATGCCACTCTAGTTTAAAAGCCTTCCTATGGCTCCCCCTAGCAGCCTTTATGAGGCAGCAGAGTAGAGGGCTATGAGTTCACGTTTAGGATTCTGCACTGGGTTCTGATTCTGTCCCTGCCGATGAAACCTGTAACATCAAGTTGACCTATCCTTGTCTCTTCCATCAATTGCATGATAATTATTCTTAATTCAAAGGGTTGTGAGGGTTAGATGAGATAATGCATGAAAACATCGAGAAGAGTTCCAGGCACATAGTTAAGTGCTTAAAAAAGTCCATGACCTGGGGGCTCTGCTCAAGTGGTAGAGAACTTCCAGATTGTGAAGTCAAGTCCCAGTACGGCCAAATAAACGTCTGCTAACATTTCATGTAGGGGCTGCCAAGCAATGTTATTAACATCTTCCTAGCTGAGTTGTTTTCCTTTTTCCCTCTGTTCATATTCAAGAATTTGAATTTTCTGCATAGACCTGGCAGTTTAATGCCTCCCTGTGTTTGACAAGAACTGATCCTTAGCGAGTTATTCAGTGTGTGGTCAGGGTTATTCTAAGCAGATACACCAGCTAGATTCCATGCCCCTGATGTGTGTTATTAAAGGATTGGTATAATTCTTTTTGAAGAATGTTACTAAGTTGTAACGATCACACTCAAATGCTGTTAGTTACTTGGGTGATAGTTGTCATTCTCCTGTTCTTTTTTTTCCCCAGTGGTACTGGGATTTGAACTCAGGGCTTGGTGTTTGGTAGGCATGTGGTCTTGAGCCACGCCTTCAGCCCTGTCATTTTCTTCTTAATTATTTATATATTCTTGTGCCCATGAGTGCCTACCACATGATAGGGATGCAGCAAAAATATTTTTTTGGTGTATGGGACACAAGTTTGAACTTAGGGCTTCACACTTGCATAGCAGTTGCTCCTCCACTTGAACCACACCTCTAGTCCATTTTGCTCTCTAGTTATTTTTGGAGATGGGGTCTCACGAACTATTTATCCGCTCTGACCTCCAACCCTGATCCTCTGTATCTCAGCCTCAAGTAATTAGGATTATAGGTGTGAACCACCTGTACCCCAGCACAAAAAGATTTTTTTTGAACAAAGGACTTTGAAACCGTGATGCAACAGGATACTGTAGGAAGAATTTGGTAGTTATGTATCTATGTATTATATACTTAATGTACATAATAGACATGTGTGTGTGTATGTGTATTTGTATTTGACTTTGAAGGAAAGGAAACAATGCTGAAACTCCCAGAGGAATTGGTATTTTCAGCCACATGCAGTCTTAGCACCTGGGAATGCTGTAGTAGGACTCTTAGTGTTCTTTTTGGATAATTAGAAAATACTGCATGGTATTGTTTGCACAAAACTGGCAAGTGTAAATTTCACATTTTTAAAAATGTGGTTGTCTATAAGTATTTCTTAAGTGTTTTAAGTACTTCTTAGATGTGTAAAGGTGGACATTAAAGCTTAGGACACTATTAATTGTTTTCTTTGGGACCTGTGCCATGGAATCAAATAAGTTTATGATTTGCAGGGAGACTCAAGTCTTGTGACAGATTATTTACAGATAATTTCTCCAAGCTTCAGTTTCTACCTCTACAAAATAGGGAATAACAATTTCCTTATATTTATTTGCCAGGCACATTGTGAGTATCAAGTAAGATAAAATATGTTACGTAAAGGTCAAATAAAACAATGTATTTGTAATTTGTAAATCGTGAAGCACTCTGTACAAATACTTTAATTATTTTAACAGTTTCTTCCAGTAGCCTTTCATGGGGAGGGTTCAGATGGACTTTTTATACTGCAACCTGTGGTTTGTGGGTCATGTTTTAGGAAGGCAGCAGTGTATTTAGTACAGAGAACCACAACCCTTGAAATTCGTGCTTTGGCATTTTAAGCAGACATATTTGGGAAATCACTATTTCTCCACAGATGTTGTCATTGACTCACCCCCAACTCTTTGGGGTCTATTTCTTTCTGCTCTGTTCTCTGCTTGGACAGCCATAACAATGTAGGAATGTTGAACGCCCAGCTGCTAACATCGTTCAGACACTTATCCTGCCCACAATTCTGGATCCCTTATAGGCCTGGCACAAAATCATGGTGTTGCTTATGCCTCATTAGGCTTGCTTCTGCTTGGGGGGAATGAAATGATATCATTATGGTTTGAAAAGGGTAATGTATTCTACCAACATAACAAACTTACCTTGGGGATGGAAGAGGGGCAAACATCAAAGTCAGTGTAAGTGGTAGTAATTACCTGTCTGTATAAATATTTGTATAAGTTTGTTGTGTTGAGACAATGCATAGAGATAAGCTTTTCAGTGTGATTGGTGAGGCTCATGACAATCTTGATAATATGTACACTAAATTTACAAAAAAGAAGAAATAGGAAGCAGTGCTTCTTAGGCATTTTAAGTAGCAAAAGCTGTGCAGTGAAAATGCTGCACCTGATGGATGTGAGGTGGAATACACTAGACAATCAAGTTCACCCTTGCTTTTTAAAAAGTTCCTCTCCCAAGATTCCTTTTATATATTCAGTAATCTTAACTTGGCCTTCGAGCTAATGTGCATTGTTAATTAGATGATAATTAGAATTGTAAGAATAGTTTCTCATAAAAAGTTTATATAACCAGGAGTAGTGTTTATCATTCTGCAAAACTGTTACTTTTTATATGTGTGATAAAGATTTTGTAATAGAAGTGCAATATTGCTTTGTGAAAGATAGAACCAATATTGCAGTTGTTTTTTTTTTTTTAATTACAAGCAACTTTATTTTGGACAGTGCCTAATTTACTCCAGAATATATTAGTTTTAGGCTGGTTTGCTGCATTTAGATAAAGCTGTTCCTTTTTTGGAAAACTGCAAACCCACTAAGGTCTTTTCTTATTTTGTTAAGAATTTTTTTTTTCAGGTCATATTTTTGGTTTGAAGTATGAGAAAAATTTCATGCAAAACATTACATAATTCTGTACAAAGATCCTAATCTTATACCAACTGGAGTAAGCAGAAACATTAAGGCTCCAAAGGGAGGAGGAAAGGCTCAGGGAAATGAGTATGAGCATGCTTTAGTGGCTCTCCTTTTAGTATTGTTTCAATAACAATACATTTATTAAAGAAACAGTTGTTAGGCACTTATAAGCTGGTCCTATAAAGATAGCTAAAAATGCTTTGGTAAAGCCACAATTTAGTGGGAAGTACATAGATAATTATAGTCTAAGGGAAATTATGGTAAATGCGCTAACATGTATAATGTTGGTGGGAACACAGGTATGAATGATTATCTTTAATTGGAGGGGAGTTGATAGGAAGTTTTGATTAAATCGGAAAAGTGGTTGGAGGCCTGCCTCTTGGAGGGCCTTGAGTGCTGAGTATTTGAGTATCAGTCACGAGGCAGAGGATAGGGGTGTAGTGCGTTGAAGGTTTTAGTTGAAATGAGGCTGGATATAAACTGTGTAAAATAGGTTGTGGAATTGGTGGAGACCAAAAGAGAAACATAATCGAGGTTGGTATTCGTGGTGGGCCTAGGAATTCAAAAGCAAAACAGCTCTTTTTGAGGTAGTGTGGTTGGTGTAGGGAACTTTGTAATTAGTATATTGCTTGTCACTAAAATACATCTGTGACTATGAGCATGTCACTTAATCTTAAGTCTTTCCCCTTTATCTAAAGTAAGTAACAAGATGATACTTCATGGTATTGATGTGAGGATTAAATAGATGCAGTTTTGGAAGTAGTTGGTGCTCAGTAAGCAGGTTCTCCTCTCTTTTCTGGAGGCACTGGGGTTTGAACTCAGGGCCTCATGCTTGCTAGGCAGGTGTTGTTACCACCTGAGCTCCTTCCCTCTTTTCTGAATCTTGAAAGGGTAAAGTGGGAGGGGAATGAGAAGGAAAGGCAGGAAAAACCCTGAATGATTATAATCTGGCTGAGGAGATAACTAAAAAATGAAGGGTCTTAGTGAGGCAACAGGTTTAAGAAAACCTATTTATCAAAGTGTTTTGTTACAGTTTTTCTTTTTGGCATTACTGGGGTTTGAACTCTGGGTTTCATGCTTGCTAGGTAGGCACTCTACTACTTGAGCCACTCTACCAGCCCTGTTTTGTGTTGGGTGTTTTTGAGATGGGGGTCTCCAGAACAGGCCTGGGCTGTCTTTGAACTTCAGTCCTCCGGATTGCAAGAAGCTAGGATTACAGGCATGAGCCACTGGCGTCCACCTTATTTTAGGTCTTTAATAAATGTCAAATACTTATTTTGTATACCTCTGCTTAACTTGCATAATTCTGGAGTACTACCATCTGCCAGAATGCTACTTGCTGGATGAATGAATATGATTGGAAAGAATTTTATAATATATAACTCTTGCCACTAGGTGGCACTTAGTCAAAATGATAATGCTGACACGCAATAGATTTTTTTTTTTTTCTGCCTGTTACCCACACAGAATCTGACAACCCTGGATTATATTCACCATTTTGCCATTTCCAGACTACTCTTTTTGAAGCGAAATATGAAGCATATATCCAATAGAAAACTCACTTGGACTGTTGAAAAAAAGAAAATATAACAGCATTGGAATATCCTGTAGAAAGCTGAAGGGAAGCTCAATGAAATTTACAAGTGACCAAATTCTCCATCTCTGATTGTGACTAAAGTGAAGTGGTCTCATTTTTGACAGTGTTTGATGGTAAGACTGTGGATTCTTTAAAGGAGGGGAGTGGGAATTTGTTTCTTAAAGGATTTGATGAAAGATGATGAAGTACGGTCTGTAGTAATACTGGGGTAGGCTGCTATGTCGTTCTTTCCTCTTCCCCCTAGTCCCGTATGTTCTCTTATTTATATTGTGCTCTCTGTTGTGGAATAGCTTACCATAGGATACTATGACACCTGTCTGTGTGGTCCCTGTGTTGTATATATTGTTAAGTTCACTGGATTCAGGAAACGTCAGAACTGAAGACTTTACTAATCGTGTTTCTAAAGTGCCACTCATAAACAGACACGGGCAGCTTGAATAATTTACATCTTGTTCTTGCTTTGGTTTAGGATGCGGGATGGCATATGCTGGTCTTTTTACTCTTTTCCATTTGACATTTGGCTCCTTTTAATCTTATATGCAAACTTCCTCCCTTTTCCTGTATGTGTGTTACTGTCCGTGTTGCTTCATAAATGTGCAGCTCTGAGGCTATCCATTCTTCCCTCCTTTGCTGTCTTCCCATTCTTGTTGCTTATGATCTTTATCTTCTGTTTCTAACTGACCAAGGTGTCCTGTTCAGGAGCATAGATGTCCTCAACTGCACACTTCACCCACTCTGGCTAAGGCACGGTTACTTATGGCTTACTCTAGTCTCTGCTTCTTATTTCTCTCTCTCCTTCGTTCTGCCACCACGCCTACTTAATACCCGGAACTGTCTTGTGCATTAATAGTGAAGTATTGAAGGGTTCAAGTAATTGTAGCTGGCTGTTTGCAGAGCCTTGGGAGAAGATGGAAAGAGAGTGAGAAGAAAGACTTTTGCACAGGGAAGAAAGGCATCTTGGAATTTTATGCTAAAAATTGGCTGGCTTATGAACTTGGTAAACATGCAGAGGTTTCTCTAGTATATATGCCATGACAGTATTAACTGTCTTGATTGTGGAGTTCATTAAATCTATTGTATCTGTCATCTGTGCTTTTATGTATGTCAAGGAAGTGAGTTAAATCTGGTTCCCCATTCCAAAGATAGTATGTGGCAGTATTTGGTAATTCACTTACAGCTTATTCCAAGTACCAATATTTGAATAAATGGATAGTAGTAAATTGGGGGGAGTTGCTGGTCCACTATTGTAATGTTTAAAAATAAAAACCTGGATAGTTGTAGCTTTCAAAGGTTATTTCAAGATTATTGGTAAGTAAGTCATTCTTTGGCCTGGCCTTACTCTACAGTATTTATGTACATTTTGTACACAGGATTTAGTAACATGTTAGTAAGAAACTTATGGTTTCTTAGCTATAACTGGTGGAAATTTTTAGTTGGTATATTAAGAATGTTTTCTGGATTCTAAACTTAGACTTACATGGTAGATGTGCAGTTAGTTTTTTTTTTTTTTAATAGTTATTTCAGGGATGTAACTATCTTAATGTGGAAATTTTTCTTTTCCCCTTTCCTTTCCTTTAAACCTAGGGCCTTGCACATGCTAGCAATTACTCTACATTGAACTACCTCCCCTGCCCTGAAAATTTTGGTTAAGGGCCAATTAATTTCACATCAGTATATACAGGTGCTGATGGTTTTTTCTGAGTGGGAAAATGTTTGTTACAGGAAATTAAAATTTTATTTAAACATATATTAAGTAAGTCACTATAGTCTTTTTGGCGGTTCTAGGTTTGAACTCATGGGCCCTGTGCTTGCTAGGCAGGTGCTCAGATACTTGAGCCATGCCCTGAGCCCCCTACTATAGTCTTACAGGAAGAAATAACTACCATTTACATTTGAGAGTATATTCCTCAATTTTTAAGGGAAATGCTAACATTACATTTTATATTAAAAATGTCAGCAAATTAGCAAACCGTTTTTAAAAGATCAAGGAAATGACATTTCGTTGACTACTGAGTCTTCATGTACATAGAGAGAGGGTGATGTCTCTAGTTCATAGATGTGAAGTCTGACTATCAGAGCTTTAGTAACTTAACTCAGGTCCTCATAGCTTTGTTCCTGCCTTTGTTTTTGTCTTCTTACTTGAACATTTCACTACCAGGGCACAAGATAGTCTTAAGTATAATGAGTGTGATGTAATGTTTTTAAGAAGGGGAGATTATATTCTTTCTACTAAATTAATTTAAAAGTAAATCTGTTTTCTAGACATACAAGGTTACATTTGAGTAGACTAGTCTTTGATCTCAAAAAAGTTCTTCCAAGTACATAATTTATTGCTAAGTAAAAATTTCTATTCAGTCTTTAAAGTAATACTGTCAGGTACCCTTGGCATGGTTCATTGGTTAATTCTCCTTTTCTGATTCATGTTTTCAGTTTCTTTTCCTAAAACTGTTCCTTTTCTGCCTATGAGACAACTTTTCAAGTCTTTTAACTATTCTCTATAAACACTGTATGGTTTTGAACAAAAAGTACTTAATTGTATTGTAACTTAAATTTCCCCATTTGTAAAATAGAGTTCTTCTGAAGATCAAATATACCTTGTGCAAAGGGGCTGCAAAACTAGGCCTCATCTCTGAGAATGTTTAACATCCATTTCCTTTCTTATCTCATCTCTAGTTCAAGCTACTGAAATGACTGCTCTGTCCTTTCTTCACAACTTGACTTGGTCTCACACTAAAAATCTGTTTCTCGCCCCTTGCCGTCAATAAGTAGCTTCCTTTCACCAGATCCTAAAGTCCTATTTCATCCAACAGCCTATTTCATTTTTCTATATATAGTAGACTGTTGGTGTCCCTTGGTCTACTGTTTCAAGGAGCCCCCCCCCCCCCCATTGAGGAAAAACCAGTAATGCTCTAAAGACATGCCATCTTTCAACAAATTTCAGATGATCTCTCTATCACTTAAATTACACACATTCACTTTTACCTTGCTTTTTGGGAGGCATATTTTCTAAAATCAAGGGCAGGGAAGTATCAGATCACAGTGACTTCAACATAGCTAGCAATAATGCAGGGCTGAGAACTGCTCTGCATCACCTGAGCTGCATAATACATGTGGGAATTCAAGATTTTTTTTGAAGTCTTTTTTAAAATTTACTTTTTGACTGTACCTGGTCAAACCTGTGTGTACTAAATTATTGAATAAGGCAGGCTTACTGTACTTTGTTTTTATTGACCAAAATGCCTTTATTGACAAGCAAGACACCATCCCTACCTCTGGTACATTGCATCTGTTCTTTGCTACTTGCCCTTTCCCCATTGTTAAATATTGTGGCTTGCATTTTTTTCCAAAACAATGTATCCTTTTTATTACCTATACATTGTAGCTCCCATCCTATAAAAGGCTTGAAATCTGTTAACAGTGCCATTGTCTGTGTAGCTGTCATGGGTAAACATTAACTTTGGTACCTCCCTTATTTCTTCCTAGTCTTATTTTTTTTTCTTTTGTCTTTTTTTTTTTTTTTTTTTCCTTTTTAAGGACCAACTCTTTCCTTTCTCCTTCCACATATCTCTTATCACATGTTCTGGGCTTTTCTCTCCTTCTGATTTATTCTTCAGGCCTGCTTTATCTCTCCCTACAAGCTTCCTTCTTTTAGTCTGCAGCTTTTGGTGGTTTGTCCCACTTGCTAGTATTTTGGGATTTGTGGAGTTTCCTGGCAACCTAATTTTGTTGTAAACAGTGTCCATTGATTTTGATTTTGCTGGTTAGTTCCTGTGCCCTCTTGCAAGAGATTGAAAGCTGTACTGCTGCCACTTCCATCCTAAAATCTTGTTTGAGTTTTTAAAAAGTATCATCAGACAAATACATATTAATTGTAAACTAAATAATATAAAGTGATAGTTCCTCTACATTCCTAAATTCCAACCCTCAGAGATAAATTCTTTTTATATGGGGAGTTTCCTTCCAATTGAAATTATTTTCTTGACATACCCAGGAAATCATGGTTTCTGTTGTTACGATTCTTTGGCGATCTGAGTAAAGTTCTTTTTTTTTCTTTTTAAAAATTTTTATTTTATTCATATGTGCATACAATGTTTGGGTCATTTCTCCCTGCTTCCCCCACCCCCTCCCTTAACACCCACCCTGCCCCCTCCCTCTCCCCCCAACTCCCTCAACACCCGGCAGAAACTATTTTGCCCTTATCTCTAATTTTGTTGAAGAGAGAGTATAAGCAATAATAGGAAGGACCAAGGGTTTTTGCTAGTTGAGATAAGGATAGCTATACAGGGAGTTGACTTCTAATTATTTTTTTTTTGCTTATATTAAAGAATAGAATCAACACATTTAGTATTGACTATGGGTAGTTTTTGTTCTTATTTGTATTATTTTTGATATTTTTGTTATTTGCAGCATTAGCTACAAATTTTTTTTCTTCTGATAATAAAAGTGACAAAATATAAAAATCATAATCCTACTAAATTAAACACAAGTAATTTTTTCCCCCCAGTAGTGCTAGGGATCAAATCCAGGGCCTTGCGCCTACCACTGAGCTACATTCCTCAGCCTCTCAGTAACATTTTAATGTATATTTATCCTTTCAGACTTTAAAAAGTATTTTATCACCCTGAGGCAGGCTAAATTAGGGACTCATAGAAAAAAATGAAACATTGCATTTTAGATTAACCATGCTTTGGCTCAGGAACCACCCTCACTTGGCTGGGAACCACCCATGTTCCTCCTGAGTCATTAATCATTGGGTGGGAATCTCGTTGTTCTCCCCTTCCTGTAGGTTTTAAAAGCTCCTGAAGAGCCAAGACACGCTCTCTCTTCTGGCTTCCATCTGAGCCTCACCATGCTTCCCTTTGTATTTCTCTTCCCTAATGTTTAATAAACTCCCTTTACACCCACGTGTCCTGCCATGGATTCTTTCTGGTGGGATACAAAGAATTTAGAAGTCGGGGGAGAAATGACCCAAGCCTTGTATGCACATATGAATAATAAAATTAAAAAAAAATTTAGAAGTCTTCTGATCACAGACTGCACCAGCGCCATTAACAAACCCACCCCCAAAGTAGTAATGTAAATTGGTAGTAAAAAGTGAACAGCAAATACATTA